AGAAACATCAATGATGAGAGAGAGTAATTGATTGTCTGCCTCTTGCACACACCACACTGGGGATCAAGCCCGCAACCGGGGCATATTCCCTGACTGGGAATTGAACCATGACTGCCAGGTTCATAGTTCAATGCTCAACTACTCAGCCATGCGGGCCAGGCTCCTAATAACACTTTTTAACTAACCGTCTATTTTGTTGTTATTAATAAAGGTACACCAGCTTTCTTTTGGTAATTACATTTTTCTATCTTTTTATTTTAAATATTTATGTATTTTAATGCTTTTTATACCTCCTCTAAACAGTATGGTTGTAGTTGGATTCCAATATCCAGTCTATCAGTCTGTGATTTAACTAGAAATTTTAGTCCAAATTACACATATTATGGCCACATATATTTGGAATTACATCTAACCTTTTGTGCTATTTATCTCACTTATTTTCCTGATTTTACTATCTGCCTTCCTTGCTTTTCTAGATGTTTTTATATGTTTACTAGAGGCCTGGTGCACAAAATTTGTGCACAGGTAGGGTCCCTAGGCCTGGCCGGCCATCATGGCCGATCTATGGGGTAATCAGTGGGGTGATTAGGGGGCCCCCCGCTTGTACCCACCTTGGTCTGGTGCTGCCTGCTCACCTGTTCCACCACCCCATCACAGGCCCGCTCTTGTTGGGGCCCATCAAGGCCAGCAGTCCTTTTACTGCCGCCTTTTGCCAGTGCTGTGTCACTGACGCCCACCATGTTCCATGCCGCCCCCTGGTGGTCAGTGCATGTCTAACTCCCAATCAGGCAAACTCCCACCAGGGGGACAATTTACATATTAGCCTTTTATTTTATTATATAGGATTTTTAAAACTAGAGGCCTAGTGCATGAAATTCGTGCACGGTTGTGGTCTTTAGGCCTAGCCTGTGATTGAATTGTGAGCATATGTTGTGGAAGGGCAGGTCCCTGCTGACTTCTGGGCCCTGGCCCCTAGATGCTCCCCTCTGCCTGAGTCATGGTGCCCAAGTCCCTAGGTGGAGATGTGGTGAGCCTGGCTGTATGGCATGGACTGGGGCATAGCGTGAGCCTCTGGGCTACCCAGTGGCACTGTATGGATGCCAGGCGGGTATACGCTCTCTTCCTGCTGGCCTCGCAGACCGGATCCTGCTTGAACCCATGGCGAGCCCAACTGGCCCCTGTGGTCCCAGCGGGTGTGGGATGGGCTCCTTGTGGGCATCTGGCATCTGAGCGCAAGGGCTTCCCTGGCACATGAACCCTGGCATCCCAGGGGAGGAGAGCAGGGGGAGTGAGAGTGAGCTTGGCAGACATCCTGCATTCTCACCACACCTCCGTCCCCATCACTCCCACCCCCAGGTAGCAAGTGAGAAGTCACATTGCAGTGCAGATGCCTGCTATGTTCCACACCACCCCCTGGTGATCAGTGCATGTCATAGTGAGCGGTCTAACTCCTGGTCCTGGTCGAACTCCCGCCTAAGGGGACAATTTGCATATTAGGCTTTTATTATATAGGATTCCTTTTTAAAAAATCTTTGCTCGAAGGTATGTTTTCATTGATTTTAGAGAAAGGAACAGAGTGAGAGAAAGATCAAAGTGAGAAACATCTATTGGTTATTTCCAGTACTCGCCAGGACCAGGGATGGGACCCACAACCTGGGCATGTGCCTTGACTGAGAATTGAACCCAAAACTAGATTCCTGTTTTTGGGTCTACTATTTAGAAGTTAGATACTTTATTTCTCTTCTTATAGTATCTGTCCTTAAAATTTTAATCTGTATAAGAAACTTTAATCTCTTAAACAACACAATAACTTTAAACCTCTTTAACTGTAGTCATTCCTCCACCATTTTTACATGCTTCATTTTTCAATATTTTATTTCAATCTTATTTTATTCCCCAAACTAGACATTCCTATTACTGCTGTTTTATGAAGATAATGACTGTTTACATGTATTCATATTTACAATTTCTTTGCTCATCATGTCTTCTTGTAGCTTAGATTTTTATTTTTTGCCCTCTTCTTCCTAAAGAATATCCTTTAAATTTTAAGTTTCTTAAATGAGAGTCTATTTTTGGTAAATTCAGTTTTGTTTTGTTTTATTGTCTGAGTGTCTTTATTAAAAAATAAAGGCAAAATAAAAGTTTAGCTAAATATAGAACTCTAGGTTAACAGTTAATTGTTATACTAATGTCTTCAAGTTTCCATTATTAATTATTAATTTTTTTAAAGTGTATTAGTTTACTATTAATGTTATAACAAATAACCACAACTTAGTGACTTAAAAGAGCACATATTTGTTGCCTCAGAGTTCTGTCAGTCAAAATTCAGCTATGGGCCTCACTGGACTAAAATCAAAGTGTTGGCAAGGCTTCATTCATTTTCCAGGAGCCTTTGAGTCGACTTCCTTGCTCACTCAGGTACAGGAAGAATTCAATTTCATGCAGATAAAGGACAGTTATTAGTTTCCTTATGGTCTGTCAGCTGTAGCTGCCTTCCCTGCTAGAAGCTTCTTTCTGGTCCTTATACATAACTCCCTGCATCTCAGAACCAGCACAGGACATCAAATCCTTCTCCTGCTACTATCTCTTTGACACAGCTAGGAAAGGTTCTCTACTGTTGAAGATATATGTGATTAAATTGGGCCCATCTGAATAATCTGGCTAATCTTCCTGTCCGAAGGGTAACCCTAATCACGTGCAAAATTCCTTCTGCCATGTAAGATAACACATTCAGATTCCGATAACAGTGTGGATATCTTTGCAATGGGCAGGGGGAGGACATCATTCTGCCTACTATAGACATGCACTGTCAATCTAATTGTCATTCCTTTGTAGATGATTTGGCTGTTCTCTCTAGCATCTTTTAAGATCACTTCTTTGGTGGTGTACAGTTTCACTGTTTCTTGGTATGGATTTTCTTTTGTTCTTATTCTTGTGAATATTGCCTCTCCTCCATTCTCTTCTGAAACCCATATTAAACATATACTAGTTATTTCAAAGCTGTCCTATTATCCTCAGATCTGTGCCATAGGCCGAATCCATAGGCATATAAATATCTCAGCCTCATGTCCAAGCCCTATCTCTGCAGTCATCCTGAGGCCATTCTTTTTTTCTTTTTATTGATTTCAGGAAGGAAGGGAGAGAGATAATAGAAACATCAATGATGATAGAGAATCATTGGTCAATTGCCTCCTGCACGCCTCCCACTGGGGATCAAGCTTGCAACCCAGGCATGTGCCCTTGACCAGAATTGAACTTGGGACCTTTCAGTCCATAGGCTGCTGCTCTATACACTGAGCCAAGTCAGCTAGGGCCCTGAGGCCATTCTTAATGCAGACTGTGACACTGTCCACCCTTTGGAGGAGAGATCTGAGAAAGATGTCCAATCAGGCCCTGTAAGTAGAGGTGGAGCTGTTTAGGCAGGAAATTTGGGGGTCCCAAGTACCTATTAGGTGGTTTAGGAGTGAGCTATGCAATGACCCTCGCTTTGTGGTGGTGGGCACAGCTGAGGAAGGCCATAGTAGGGCCCTCTTGTCCATATCCAAGGGCAGTATCATGTGATACAATAAGCATCTTCGTTTAAGAGGAAGAATGCTGGCTACAATAAGATGAGAAGGAAATTCATGCAAGAGGTTGAGGATGTGAGAATCAGAAAAGTTTGGAAGTATAGAGAAATATGGGTTTCAGAATAGGCAAGAATTGCATGGCTAAATTAGCTGGCCTCTACATTGCAGAACTGAAGCTAAATTTGGGCAGCCACAGTGGATTCAGCTTTTATAAGAACTCCTAGAGTTCCGGGGCATGAAATTCATATACTCAGGGTGTGGTGGGGGTGTGTCTTAGCCCCGCCTGTACCCTCTCACAGTCTGGGACCCCTCAGGGATGTCCAACTGACAACTTAGGCATAAGGAGCAGGCCTAAGCCATCAGTTGAACATTCTTAGCACTGCCACAGAGGTGGCAGAGGTTCCCACCACCGCCACTACACTTGCCAGCTGTGCTGGCTCAAGACTTCTGGCTGAGTGGCACTCCCCCTGTGGAAGTGCACTGAGCACCATGGAGCAGCTCTTGTATTGAGCATCTGTCCCTGGTGGTTAGCGTGCATCATAGTTACTGGCTGTTCTGCTGTTTGGTCAATTTGCATATTAGCCTTTTATTATACAGGATTCTCTCTGAATAAATACTCTTCTACTCTGCTCCCTATCTGCTGCATCCCTTACTTACCTGACTCTTACAACATTTTCAGGTCTCTCCTTTAGTTTCCAACCCATGGTCCCTCTCCCTCTTATATTTTCCCAAAGAACTGTAATTCCTCATTCCAATTATACTTATTAAGTTGCCTATAGCTGCCTTTCTAATTAGTCAGGCTGAAAGCAGTATGAAGACATTTGTCTTGTCCAGCATCATATCCCCAGGCCTCATAAAGTGACTGAAACACATCTGGTAGTCAAAAAATATTTGGTAAATTAATAATCAATTTGGCCTACTGGTACTTGAGTTGCATTGCTTGATATGGCTGAATCCACACAGGTTATTAGCAGAATATCAGCCTTTCAATGTCCTCCCACTTCAAATAATTTCACTTAACATATGATTTTTTCAAAGCAAAGATGATTTATTTTGTTATCTAAAGCACTGTATAAGATTATCTGGAAAATATAAAATCATCCTGCTTTCCTAATATGTTACACTATCACCACTTTAGAAAATGGATTATATCTTAGAAAAGTCTCTTCATTGCATGCAAAACATTTTTCTGTTGCCTATAGTAAAGGAGGTGAAAGAACAACTTGAAGGAAAGGGATCATGGTATATATCTATCCCAGCCCCAGGAGATAAAGACTAAGATGCTAGTAGTATGCAACTGGCCCCTTCAGTAACTCAACTAGTCCATACAGACAACCCACTTAACACATTCAAACCACGCTTTGAGTCATTGATGGTCATGATTGGTTAGTGTCTCAAAGCAAGGCCATGCCAGTTGTTAAAATTCTATGGAGATTAATCAACAGTGCTACCACTTGAGTGTTCCTTCCAAGTCAACTGTGGATATGATTTCATTGGTTTGAATAAGTAATCCTGTGACCATACAGGCTCTTGGATGCAAGTCCACAAATATCGGGGCATAGCCTGCACACTATTAAAAATAACAAAGGTTTCTGGGCTGGAGACACTGTCAACCACACTGTCATGTCTATCTGTGGCTCCAGGAATCAATGGTGGTGGAACAATATTTGTCTGATGACCCAGAGAGAAGGAGCCTGTGAGTACTTCAGCTTCAAACACATAGGTCAGCTTATCTGAAGCAGATGTTTTCTTGACCTGATATGGTAGGTTTCTGAAATATATGCCAGCTCCATACTTTGGGTCTGAAAAAAATAAAAATAAACGGTTATAATGATCTGCAGAAACATATGGTCTATTTGGGTACTAATACATATTCGCTGTCTAGTCTTCCAAACCAAATAATCACTACTTTTTGGTTTCAAGTCCCTGTGTCTGTAGCAAAGATATCCAAAGTTGTTCCCTTATGACAAATTATTGTCAATGCCCTTGCTGGTATAGCTCAGTGGACAAGACGTTGACCTGCAGACTAAAGGGTCCCAGGTTCTATTTTCAGTCAGGGCACAGTCTCAGGTTATGGCTTGATTCCCAGTGGGGGAGTGCAGAGGCAGGTGATCGATGATTCTCTCTTATCATTGATGTTTCTATCTCTTTCTCCCTCTCCCTTCCTCTCTGATAGCAATAAAAATAATAATAATAATAAAGACTAATATCATCAATATAATAATATAATAGCTTACATTTAAATATAGCTTCCTTCTTTCCTTCTGTCCCTTCCCACCTTCCTCTTTCTTTACATTTACTTGGGACTTAACCAAACACTGTGTCAGGTTCTAGAGCAGCAATGAACAATAGAAATGCAATGTAAGCCACACAAATAATATTAATTCTCTAGTAGCCACACTAAAAAAGGTAAAAAGAAACAGGTGAAATTAATTTAATAATAAATGTATTTAACCTATTATATTCAAACTAGAGGCCCGGTGCACAAATCCATGCACCAGAGGGGTCCTTCGGCATGGCCTGTGGATCGGCCTGAAAATGGCAGTGCAACACCACTTGCTGCTCCTGCTCATCCCAGCCCCGCTGCACCTGCCGCAGGCTCCGCCCAGTCAGTCCAGATTGGGAGAGGCTTGTGCTGCTCCAGCAGCACTCACCAGTCATGAGCCCTGCCTCTAGCACCTATTGGTCAGCTGAGTGGTGCTCCCCCTGTGGGAGTGCACTTACCACCACGGGACAGCTCCTGCATTGAGTGGCTGCCCCCTGGTGGTCAGTGTGTGTGATAGCGACTGGTTGACTGGTGGTTCCAGGCGTTCAGTCATAACAGTCCTTTAGGCATATATATATATATATATATATATATATATATATAATCATTCCAACATGTAATCAATATCAAAATTATTAAGGAGACATTTTATATATTTTTTAAAAATTTGGTAGTGGTCTTTAAAAACAGTGCATATTTCATACTTACTGTGTACTTCAATTCATATTAAACACATTTCAAATGTTCAACAACCACATGTGACAGGCTCATGGCTACCATATTGGACTGTACAGCTTTAGAGCTTCAAAAATGACTAAGACATGATCCCTATTCTCAAAAGTTCACAATGGGAACTCCCAATATAAAATATAGTACAATTTCATGTGGCAAGCAAGTATTTTGAGATAAATATCAAAGATTTCTTTCCTGTGAGTTTCTTCTGGCTCTTTGTTCCTCCATCCATTGAATTCTTGCTACTTATACAGGGGCAAAATATATAAAGCTTAGAATATATTTGAATATATATGACACGTATCATATATAATATATAATTATTTTTAATTAAAGCAGAAAATATGGTCTTGAAAGTATGGCCTTGATAGTTAGGTTTTCTGAGTGAGGAAAAGAGTTTTTTGAACCAAAAGGATAAAAGCCTGAAGGATTCAGAGCATGTATTTTTATACCACCTATAACAGAAAACAATACAAGATATTCTAAGAGCAGATTTTTCATTTAAGATAAATGTAAGTTCTTTCTTCTACCTTAAAGGAAGAGAAGAATCAGGGAGGACATAACTAGAACTCACTTCCCTGTCACACTCTCTCAAGAATGCCCTGGGAGTCAAGATGTTGAAAACCTACAGAAACCTCAGAAAAACTTGGGGGACTTCCAGAAGAGAAGGGACCATTGCCTGACTCCACTGTATTCAGCCCCTCATCCAGCCTGCCCCCCGAGTGGAAAGTATCTACCCAGGGAAGATTTCCAGAAGGAAATACCACACATTTCATCTTGGAGGATGTGCACGCTCCAACACTTTCCATGCTGTAGGAGGAACACAAACATGGCCTGGAAAGGAATTCCCTTGACATGAAAAACAGAGTGCCCTGTATAGACACTACCTAAGAGCAAAGGGGACTGGAATTTAAGTAAAGGAAGGTGCTCATGACCAAAGGTGTTTTATCTAGCAGAGGACACTGACAGGCAGAGGACAGATGGGGCCATGAACCAAACCACCCTCCTTTCAATGCTTGTCCCATCATGGAGAACACTCTCAGAAGAGGAGAAGTAAAGGCAAAACCTTGCAGGAACTGAGCCTAAACTCCAAAGGGACTAAGGATACCCTGAAAATGACTGAGTTCATCTGTCAAGATGGAGTTTTCATCTGTGGACTTGGGAGCAAAAAGGCAGGTGAGGTTTAATTATACAGCCATAAAGAAAACAAGTCCCATACCTGAATTTTGTAGGACTAAATTGGTATACTTGTGAGAGTTACAGAGGCTGTAACAAAGGAATGGAGGGAGAAGGAAGCAATTCACTGGGTCTGCAGGAGTTTGGGAAAGTGTCAACCAGGAGATGCCATTTGAGCTATGTCTTAAAGAAGGAATAGAAATTTGCAGGGCTGAAAGGGTGAAGAGGGAAGACATTCCACATGTAAAGGCACAAAGGCATGAGGGCATACAGCATATTCAGGAAACTCTAAGAAATTCATGGCTAGAGTGTTGGGGAACAGTGTGTTATGAGGCTGGTGAAATAACGTGGGGCTGGGGCTTTCTATGATATACTTTGCTAAGGAGTCTGAGTTTTTACCTTCTAGGTAACTAGGAATGTAGATGCTAAACACGCATGTAATTTTTTAGTATGATAATTCTGGAAGAGAAAAGGACAGGTTAGCCGAAACCAGTTTGGCTCAGTGGATAGAGCATTGGCCTGCAGAATAAAGGGTCCCGGGTTCGATTCTGGTCAAGGGCCTTGGATGCAGGCATATCCCCAGTGGTGGGTGTGCAGGAGGCAGCTGATTGATGACTCTCTCATCAATGTTTCTAGCTCTCTGTCCCTCTCTCTTCCTCTCTGTAAAAAATCAATAAAAATATATTAAAAAAAAAAGGGGACAGGTTAGACAGAGGTGTTTTGAGGCAAAGATAGAACCTGGTAATCATCTAGGCTTATGGGAAGGTAAACTAAGGCAGAATAGAAAAGTGAGGCTGTGCTGAGAATTTTATTGATGTGTCACCAGAACTCTGTGACTGCCTAGATATAAGAGAGAAAGAAAGGAATGGAGAATGATACAGTTTCTACCTTAGAAGACCTCATAGATGATGATGGTGTCAGCCAGGTTAGGGAGTATCAGAAAGTGGGGGGGGGGGGAATAGCCTATGTCTTAGGGGAAAATATGGCCAAGAAAAGAGTTCAGCTGGAGTTGGCTATGGGATCATAGGTAGAAATGTCCAAAAGACAGTTTGAAATATGGACCTGAAGGTCAGGAAAGAGATAGGTTACAGTTGGAGAGGTAATTAGCCATATCTGCCACAGGAATGAAAAGAGGACACTCGCTGGATTTGGAAAATAGAAAGATAATGATGATCTTAGAGTAATTTGAGGAGAAGGTGCTGATTGTGTGTGGAGGGGCAGGAAGAGTGGGGTGCAGAGAAGCCAGTTACAGTGGTTTAAGAGCAAAAGAAGTTGTGAGTTTTTAAGACTGCTAATGAAAGGACCATACCGATCATCAATTTCCTGATTGCACTGGAAGATTTCTTGGAGAGCATTCATTGATCAATTTTTACCTCCAGGAGTTGAGGTATGCTCTATTTCCCCCCTAGGTACTGCTTATATTCTCTCTGGGGCAAAGAGATTTAAAAACTCTTTGCTGTCCAGCAATCAAAGCTCATGCTACATATTGTGAAGGGTAAAGATGAAGAGATTTCACGGACGAGGCAAAATCAAGCTGCATTGCTAGGTATCTCCCACAATAATTACAAAACTTCTTGGCCTCCTTTGAATAGAACTAACGGGGACACTATAGTAATGAAGTATGTTGTTGTTTTGTTAATCTTTACCCAAGGATATTTTTTCCATTGCTTTTCAGAGAGAGTGGAAGGGAGGGAAGAAGGGGGATAGAAACAGAGAAATATCAATGTGAGAGACACATCAATTGGCTCCTCCCACACGTGCCCCGACCGGGTATATACACTTGACCTGGAATCGAACCCGAGACCCTTTGGTGCATAGGTTGACACTCTTAACTGCTGAGCCACACCAGCCAGGGCTGTATGAAATATTTTTGTACAACTTAAGAGAGACATGGAAGCCACACATAGAACTCTTATAGCTGAGAGGGATCTTAAGATGTTAGTCACTTCACCTGCCAGATGAAATCGAATTCATTCACCAGATATCAGGCTATAGGAAGTGAAGAGGATGGAAGAGAAAAGACCAACTTTATTAAGTTCAGGAAAATGCCCTTTTAATTAAGGGATTAAAATGGTTAGGTGGTAATAATAATTTGCTTGACATAAGTGGGGCAGGAGGGAGTGGGGGGAAGACGGGGGGAAGAAAGAGAAAGAATAGCTCCAGGATACTCTGTATATAAGACACATAAACACAGAAAGGAGAGAACCTGAACTGTACATCTTATTGCTAATACTTTCAACAACATTAAACCTGCCAGCAACAAAATATATGAAGGAAAATAAAAATAAGGACCCTTTCAAAAAAAATGTATGAAGGAAAATAAAAATAAGAACCCTTCAACAAAATATATGAAGGAAAATAAAAATAATGACTTAGCCACTAAATCCTAGTTGCAAATGATCCCCTCACCACAGCAACAAATGCTATTTGTGGAGAGTCCTCTGCTGATGTCTGCTCACCAATTCCCCCCAAAGTAGCTCCAATAATGACGGGCTGACACCTACCGCAGGGCACGGAGTACATTCTTTGGAAGCCAACTCTGCATACCACTTCGCAGAATTGCTGTGGGACTTGCTGAAACAACCGGTGGCTCACAGGCTTCCCAGGCATTCTCTCTTCTATCATTTTCTTCTTTCTTTGGAAGGCAGCCATGAGGAGCACGTTCTCTACCTTCTCTACCTGGAATCCAAGGGAACGAAAATCTGAAGAGAGACTGGAGAACTGCTACTTAAATGGCCTGATGCACTGCTTCAAAAATAAAGGCACTTAATGTGCATATAGCTTTGCAAGCAATTTGATTTTCATTTCAAGTTACACAGGGGTCTCTCCTGGCCCCAACCCTCTCCTAACTTGATTTCTATCTCTTCAAAATCCCCTGTCCCTTTGTTGATAAATTCATTTAATAAAAATGCACTGAGCAATCCCTTTAATGAAATGGTCAACAACGTATTTACGGTCTTTGCCCTCTTAAAGCTCATAGTTTGGTGAGAGATAAAAATAGGTACAAAAATATAATAATGCAGTGTGTTAAGTTCTAATCCAGACCTTTTATTTTGCATCAACATAGGCAGCTTTTAATTGGGTCTTGATCTATGCTTCTGTATATCCTGACATCATTTCTGCCTCTTATATCGTGGTATCTCCCCATCTCTAGCCTCCTCTCCATCTTATTTCTGGGATTCCCGGTCAACAGCCATTAGCAGGTGTTGGGTTTTTTGTTTATTTGTTTTTTTGGGGTTTTTTTTTGGCTATAGATAAAATGGATTAATAGCAAGGCAAGTCAAATCTTTCATTTAATTACATATACCTTTATGACCCGAAAACCACAGTTTTCAAACTTTTTCTTTTGATCCTGAATTTCTGGAGTTGAAAGCTTTAGACATTCCAGAAACTTATTTTCTTTCATTTCATCTTGGTGTATTGGTTGCTGATCAGTCCATTGTCCTAAAAATGAGTAACACGAGGCCATAGGTTTATAAAGAAATATTATGAAACAAATTAATTTGAAGAAATAGACTAGTCAGTTTAAATTGTAGGCCACATATTTTTAAGAAAAGCAAAGAGAGCTACAATACTGTGAGATATCATAAAATAATATAGAGGATTAATAAATTAGTCCTCCGATGATTTGGATTATGAGGTTGAGGAGATGAGGGGAAAAAAGCATTAATACATACTCCCCTCATCAATGCTGTAGTGATGATATATAACTGTGTTGTTCATAGAAAATGTTTGTACTTCCAGTCAAGTTGCATCAACAAAAAAAGAGGCATAAGAAAACCTCCTATCTAATAAAGAGGGAATATGCAAATGCCATCGCTCAGTCACAAAGATGGCTGCAACCCACAGCTGAGGCCAAGTTCCCAAAAGGAGCCTTAAAGAGCAATCAGCAGGGAACTGAGGCTATGCCCTCTCCACCCCCATGGGCTTGACAGGAGACCTCAGGCTGTGCCCCCCACCCGGCAGAGCTTGATGGGGGACCTCAAGGTGCACCCCAGTGCTGGGTCAGGGGAACTCAGACCACACACCTGACCAGTGGGGCTTGATGGGGGACCTGAGACTGCGTGCCCCCCCCTCACCTGGAGGGGCTTGACAGGGGACCTCAGGCCGTGCCCCCCACCTGGCAGGGCCTGATGGAGAACCTCAAGGCACACCATCCCCTGCCCCCATCCTGGCACCGGGCCAGGGGACCTGAGGCTACACCCCCTGCCCAGCAGGGCTTGACAAGGGTGGGACTGGCCGGGTCTGGCTCTAGCCCAATTGATGGTGGTGGTGGGGTGGCTGGATTTGGGTCTCATGTGATTTTGAGGTGCATGTGGGTGGGCGGGGACTTGACTCTGGGTCCTGTGGTGAGCCCTATGACAGAAGGTTTTCATATACAGTTTACTAATTTTCTTTCATCTCTGACACTTCTATTATAGTGAAAGGACAAATAGCAATATTAAATTATTTCCTCTATTAATCCCCCCCTTTTTTATTTATTTATTTATTTATTTATTATTTATTTATTTACATATTTTATTGATTTTTTTTTTGCCCCCCTCCTTCCCTCCCACATATCCCCTCCCTCCCCAGAGTTTTATGTCCATTGGTTGTACTTATATGCATGTATACAAGTCCTTAGGTTGATTTATTATCTCCCCCAGACCCTCCTCCCCTCCCTATTAATCCCCTTTTAAGGTGCACAAATTTCAAGCACCGAGTCACTAGTTAAGAGATAATAAAAGTTGATATGCTATTTATATAACACAGCAAGGTTTTCAAAGAGATTTCATATCTCTACCTCATATGATCATTATACCTCCATCCCTGAAATAATCAACACAATTTTACAAATAAGGAAATTAAAACCCAGAGACTTATATAATTTGCCCAATATCACACAGCTAATAAGTAAGGAGATCCAAGTTATAAATCTGGCTTTCCCCACAGCCTTCTGGCAGAATATTTGGTATATACATCATTCATATGCCACTTCCAAGCAAGAGCAAAATTTGGAGATTAAGACTAAATTGTGTCGTGTATTTCCTCCCTTTCTTCTTTAACTTACTTATTCCCCTCCCCCCTTTTTTTTAAGTTCAAGGGACTACCTGTTATTGTCCAAAGAAGCTCCTTATTGGACTAAATGCACAGGTGGACAAAATAGAAATTCCCCAACAGGCTTACTTTTCCCCCTGTTTGAGTTTGACTTTACTAGTAGACCACATATACTAAAATAACCTAATGCCCAGCACATTTCTAATGGAGTGGGCCAAATTTTAAAAAAGCAGATGATACATCCAGAGAAACTCGCTAGAGGGTCAAGTTGTAAATCTGGAAGGCAGGAAGGACAAAACACCCTAGCAAAGGAACTCCAAAGCCAGAAAATCTCAAAGGAAGAGACTCTAAGTTAAATCTGGAGAGCTATAGCTCACATTGATGAAGTATAGTATTAAGTCCAGCTGACTTGAGTTCAGCAAACATTTATTGAATTATGATTACATGCCAGGCACTGGCGATTCAAAATTTACAAACTCTTGCTACCAGAAAAGCTTACCAGGAAGGATTAAAAGAGCAACACAATAGCTCTCTGATGCCTAACTTCTATCATTTAAATTTTATTCTGATGGATAGTTGATGTTCTCTGTAGTAAGAGCTCGTTTCAAATTTATCCATTTTGTTAATGATGCTCTTAACCTGATTAAGAGAGGGTTACCCTTGGCTTTCCATGTAACTTCCTTTTAGGTAATCAAGTTATCATAAGTAAATCCAATTGTGAGTGTGTGTTTATTTACTTATAATTAACCCTGCTGGTAGAAATAGAGCCCCAAAATGGTTATACAAGTTTATTGCCTAGCACAGAACCTGCATAGTTTGCGCTCTCTCTTCTGTTTTCTTATCCACAGACAGACATAATCACACCCAAAAGGACAGCAGGGAGAGCTGACTTTCCAACTAAATAGAAAGTTACTCACCTGACAAGCTACAAAGGGCTCGCTCCTTTCTTTTTGCTATTTCCTCTTGAACTTCACACAGCATTAGTTCAATGTTCATAACCACCTTAATGAGGTCAGCCTGGGCTCCTTGAATCTCTAAAGTTGCCTTTCCCGGACTGATAATCTCTGAAATAGAGACTCTTTCCTGAAGCTGAGACAAAATGTCATGTTCCTTTTTTCCAAGGAAGAGGATATGATTATTCTCAATGATGTGCTTATCCTGGAGGGTCAGCATTCTTTGGATCCACTCTTGGGCCTCACATATTTTTTCCTGGTTCAATCCCATCAGATTAACAGCAGGAGATTTAGCTTTCAGCTCCTTTTCTGGGTTCCCTCTGATCTCCTGGGGGACTGAAAAGACTATCATAAACAACCACAGAAGACAGGTGAGTTTTTTACCGGAGTAGAACAATACACCATGGCCAGTATTTGCCCCAGGATATTGTCACTGTTGTTGGCTGTAGCAGCTTCAATTAAGTACCATCTCTGAGAGCTCTGTTGGGTATAAAGGAAATCTAGATGTATATAATAGTTTACAGTTTCCCTGAGTTGGGTTTATCAATCCCTGCCCCTTCTATGTTGCATTTACCAATTCACAGATGAGTTCAATTTGTGATCTCACTCTGGATGTTGACCAACTATTATTTCCTGCTGAATAGGATTTTCCTCCACCTCTTACTAATCCCAGGTTTAAAAATCAAACATCTCAGGCTGAAACCGGTTTGGCTCAGTGGATAGAGCGTCAGCCTGCAGGCTGAAAGGTCCCAGGTTCGATCCCGGTCAAGGGCATGTACCTTGGTTGCGGGCACATCCCCGTGCAAGAGGCAGCTGATCGATGTTCCTAACTCTCTATCCCTCTCTCTTCCTCTCTGTAAAAAAAATCAATAAAATATATTTTTTTAAAAAAAAATCAAACATCTCAGAAGCAACAGAGCTTAAAGAGTAAAATTCTTTTTAAAAAACGTATTTCTGATTATAAAAAGAATAGCTGTTTATTATTGAAAAGTTGAAAAATTATCAAAGTATAATGAAATAAGGAAATACCCATAATTCCACTACCTGCGATTCTCATTTACATCTTATCTGTGTGTGACAGGACATTTCACCCCTCCACAAGCACCGGGAGCTTAGCAGCTCTTGCTGCTGGACACAGTATATCCCAGCAAAAAAAAAAAAGAAACAGAATTTGATTCCAACCCAACCATGTATACCTCTCTCTGCAACCCCCTCCACAAGGAGTAAAGATATATATCAAGAAGAAGAATCTCTGATGGATTAGGGTGGCTCTGAACCCAAATTCCAAAAAGAAAGAGGGGAAGGGAGGGTGGACCAGTTGAGAGAGAATTCATAGATAAAGCAGCACCTAAAATATATAAAGAATTCCCTTAAATCATTACTAAAAAGAAACAACCCAATAGCCAGCTGGGCAAAAGAATTCGCAGAAAAGAAAACACAAATGGCCCATATATGTGTGAAAAGATGTTTCTCTTCATTGGTAACCAGGGACATGAAAAATTACCCACCATATTGGCAAAAATCCATAAGTCTGACAATCCCCAGTGTTGGAAAGGACACAGAGCAACTGGAACTCCTAGGTATTTATGATAGATGTAAAATTGGAGCAACCACTCCTATAATTATATTATTTAGAAAAACTTTGGCACATGTGTATCAGGAGATGTGTACAATAAAGTTCACATTCTTGTTTGTAACAGGCAAGAACTGGAAAAAATCCAGGCCCTTCAACATGGAATATTACTATAGCAATGAAAAGTAGTGAATTTAGCTACATGGACGAATCTCAGTAACATTTTGATGGGAAAATGGTAAGTTGAGCACTTGCTATATTCTAGGCATTATTCTAAGAGCTATATATATTTTATTCAATCCTTACAACCCAATGAGATACTATTAGTATTAATAGTAGCCCTGTCTTACAAATGAAGACACTAACTATAGTTATTAAGAAACTTGCCAACCTAGCTGGGTTGGCTCGGTGGATAGAGCATCGGCTTGTGGACTAAAGGGTCCCAGGTTTAATTCTGGTCAAGGGCACATGCCTGAGTTGTGGGCTGGATCCCCAGTGCGGGGGTGTACAGGAGGCAGCCAATCAATGATTCTCTCTCATCACTGATGTTTCTATCTTTCTCTCCCTCTTCCTTCCTCTCTGAAATCAATACATTAAAAAAAAAGAAAAAGAAACTTGCCAATGGTTTTAGGACTAATATGTGGTGGCCTGGGAGGTAATAGGTGTGGGCAGTCTGATTCCAGTGCTCACACAATTCTTCCTCCCAGTAAGTGATCTCAGGACAATAGTGGTAATTTACGTATTTTGCCTAATGTAGCAGTTGGGTGGTATCAGGAACAATGGAAAAGTATCAGGACAGACTTCAAAGTGGGGGGTGAAGGAGGGAAGAGGAAGATGCCCCCTCTGAATAAAAGTCAAAGTCAAAGTTTTATATATACAACACTAAGAATTGTGAATGTATGGGGAGGGGAGTGGTGAATGTTTCTTAAATTGGAGGCATACTTTTCTTTTTTTTAAAACTCTTGTTCTGCTTGGGAGCTTACATTACTTTTTAGGAGAAAACAAAAACATGTGTTAATATTTCTTTAATCCATCATCATCAAGAAAGAAGAATTGGCCCTGACTGATTTGGCTCAGTGGATAGAGCGTTGGCCTGAGGACTCAAGGGTCCTGGGTTGATTCTGGTCAAGGGCATGTACTTTGGTTGCGGGCACATACCCAGTGGGGAGTGTGCAGGAGGCTGCTGATTGATGTTTCTAGCTATCTATCCTTCTCCCTTTCTCTCTGTAAAAAAATTGATAAAATAGGAGGAACCAAGATGGCGGCCTAGGTAAGCACCTAAGCTGCCACTTCGCACAACAATTTAAAAAAAAAAACAACTAAAATCAGAACGGACATCATCCAAAAACACAGGAAAGCTGGCGGAGTGGGAAATCTACAACTAGAAAGAAGGAGAGAGGCTCACGGATTGGATTGGGAGCCACAAAGCGCTGAGGTAGGGCGATGCACGCACAGAGAGGAAGTGCAGCTGAATGCCTGGCTGGCGGGAGGGGAAAGGAAGTCCCCGATTGCACTGAACCCTTTCGACTGTACTGAACCCCAACCCTGGCCAAAACCCTGTGGACCCAGGCTCATATGGGTGGAGTCTGGACTGTAGAGAGAGGCACCCAGAGACTCAGAGACTGGGGGAGCAGGGAGCCACAGTGGGCAGGGTCTACAGTCACGCACGAGTGAGTGCGAGCAGAGAGGTCTGACTGTGGAGGCTGCCGCGGCCTCTCGATAGCGGAAGGTGTCAGAAACTCCAGACTACAAAGACCCAACCCAATTCTGGACTAGACCCTGAGGCACCCGTGCTCTTGCTCGGGGAATCTGGGACGGTCAGGCGGAAACTCAGGGGAGCCGCAGAAGGCAGAGGTCAGGCAGAAACTCAGGCGAGCGCACAAGGACAGGGCTGATGGGAAGCCAAGACTGTCAACTCAGCCCCGAGACTCCACCCTATCCAAACTGAGCACAGAGGATATTGCAGTTTTGCAAGTCTGATCCTATAAGACTGTCTCCAATACAGAAGGTATCCCGGAGAAGATACTCACATCCAATTGGCCTGAAGGTCAATTCCTCCCAGGAATTTATGTGTTAGGGTTAGGGTTAGGGTACACAGGCACACACCAACAACAATAAAGACTTAACTACAACAAGGCTGTACACACAGTCCACAAAGGGGAGCACCAAGAGTTTCTACCTCAGGTAACTAGGGAGGCTGACCCACTGGCCCATATAGGACACCAAACACACAAAGCAATCCTACCAACTCTGGGAAGCAGTGAAAATGCCGAGACAAGGAAATAGATCTCAAATGTAAGAGATGGAGAACAAAAGACTGGAGATAGAGTTCAAAACCATGGCTGTAAGGTTTTTCAAGAATTTCCTAGAAAAGGCAGATAAATTTAATGAGACCCAACTGAAAATTAAACATAAACTGACTTAAATGGAAAATATTATGCAGAGATCCAACAGCAGAATGGAGGAAAACATGAATCAGGTCAAAGATTTGGAATACAAAGAGCCAAAAGACACTCCTCTGGAGAAGCAAGAAGAAAAGAGAATCCAGAAAGTTGAAGATAGTGTAAGGAGCCTCTGGGACAACTTCAAGTGTACCAATATTAGAATTATGGGGGTGCCAGAAGAAGAGAGAGTGCAAGATACTGAAAACATATTTGAAGAAATAATATCAGAAAACTTCCGCCACCTGGTGAAAGAAATAGACTTACAAGTACAGGGAGCATACAGAACCCCAAACAAGAGGAATCCAAAGAGGACTACACCAAGACACATCAAAATTAAAATGCCAAGGGCAAAAGACAAAAGAGGATCTTACAAGCAGCAAGAGAAAAGCAGTTGGTTACCTATAAAGGAGCACCCATACGACTATCAGCTGATTTCTCAACAGAAACCATGCAGGCCAGAAGGGAGTGGCAAGAAATATTCAAAGTGATGAATAGCAAGAACCTATAACCAAGATTACTGTATCCAGCAAAGCTATCATTCAGAATTAAAGGGCAGATATAGAGCTTCACAGATAAGAAGAAGCTAAAGGAGTTTATCACCACCAAACCAGTATTATATGAATTGCTGAGGGGGTTCTTTAGGAAGACGTAGAAGAAGAAAAAAAGATAAAAATTATGATCAATAAATACATATATATCAACAAGTGAATCTAAAAATCAAGTGAATTAAAAAAGCCAAAGGAGTTCATCACTGCCAAACCAGAATTATATGAATTGCTGAAGGGGGTTCTTTAGGAAGAGGAAGAAGATAAAGCTAAAAACTATGAACAGCAAATACATAACTATCAACAAGTGAATTTAAAAAACAAGGGAATTAAAAAACCCGATGAACAATATTAACTAGTGAATATAATAGAACCAGAGGTATGGAACGGGAGTGGACTGACGATTCTCAGGGAAAAAGGGAGTGGGGGTGTGCAGAAAGAGACTGAACAAAATCTGTGCACCTATGGATGAGGACAATGGTGGGGGGAAGGGCAGAGGGTGGGGTGGGAACCTGGTGGAGGGGAGCAATAGAGGGAAAAAAGATAGGAACATTTGTAATAACCTGAACAATAAAGATTTATTTTAAAAAAATGATTCTCTTTCATCATTGATATTCTCTCTCTCCCTCTCCCTTCCCTAAAATCAATAAAAATTATTTTAAAAAAAGAGAAAAAAAAGAAAAAGAAATTTAAGACAGAGTTAAATATTCTTCAGCCCCCAATAATCAGGATTGGTTTAGTTTAGTGATCCCCAAACCTGGTTGCACATCAAAACTGATTAGGGGGCATTGAAAAATACATGTGCTTGGTCCAGACCCAGAGTTTCTGAATCAGAATCTGTAGAGTTAGGGCTTACTAGTATACATATGCTTGTTGGTGTGTTTGTTTTTTTTAAAGTTCCCATCATGATCCTAGTGCTTAGGTTTGGATAGCATTGGGTTAATCCACTTATTATTATCTTTATTACTGAGATGTGTTTTCTATAATTATTAAAGAGTAACCCCATTTAGATGTTTGCTTATTCAGAGCAGAAAGAGTGCTGGCTAACTCAGAGCAGAAAGAGTGCTGGCTAAGTCAGTTTGTGAAGGGCAGAACTTTTTTTTTTAGAAAAAAATTATAGATGGCATTTGTAAATGAACTATCCACACTGTGAATTACCTAATGCAACTTTGCCTCACTCTGCTCATATCATAAAACTGGACTGAACAAGAACATGGTCAGGTATAGAGCAGGTTGGTATCTAAGCAGGAACACAATGAGATATATTTGGCTTCTTTATTCTTCTTCTCCTCCCCTTCATTAGTTTAGATGATCAAGAATAGAATGAGCTTCCTGGTATTGGCACAAGAACAGACATATAGACCAATGGAACAGAATAGAGGACCCAGAAATTGATCAAAGCCATTATACTCAATTGATATTTGACAAAAGAGGCAAGAGCATACGATGCAGCCAAAACAGCTTCTTTAATAAATGGTGCTTGGAAATTTGGTCAGACACATGCAAAAATAATGAAACTAGATCACCAACTTACACCATACACAAAAACAAACTCAAAATGGCTAAAGGACTTGAATGTAAGATGGGAAATCATAAAAATCCTATAAGACTCCCTAGGAGCTGTGTCTGTAAAGATATTGCTACGGCAGAAACTGGTTTGGCTCAATGGATAGAGTGTTGGTCTGTGGACTGAAAGGTCCCAGGTTCGATTCCGGTGAAGGGCACGTACATTGGTTGTGGGCATATCCCCAGTGGGGGTTGTTCAGGAGGCAGCTGGTCGATGTTTCTCTCTCATCGATGTTTCTAGCTCTCTATCCCTATCCCTTCTTCTCTGTGGAAAATCAATAAAATATATTTTTTAAAAAGATATTGCTACAACATGTTGTAGCAATATCTTTGTAGACACATGTCGTAGCAATATCTTTACAGACACAGCTTCTAGGGCAAGAGAGACTAAAAAGAAAATAAACAAATGGGACTACATCAAAACAAAAAGCTTCTGCACAGCAAAATAAACAATGAACAAAGCAACAAGAAAGCCCACTGCATGGGAGGACATATTTGCCAATGTTATCTCTGATAAGGGTTTAATCTCCAACATTTACAGGGAACTCATACAACTTAACAAAAGGAAGATAAACAATACAATCAAAAAATGGGCAAAGGACCTAAATAGACACTTTCCATAAGAGGACATTCATAAAGCCAAAAGGCATGAAAACATGCTCAAAGTCATTAATCATCAGAGAGATGCAAATCAAAACAATAACCATCTCACACCTGTCAGAATGGCTATCATCAACAAATCAACAAATGCCAAGTGCTGGAAAGGATGTGGAGAAAAAGGAACCCTCCCTCACTGCTGGTGGGAATGCAGACTGGTTCAGCCACTGTGGAAAACAGTATGGTGTTTCTTCAAAAATTTAAAAATAGAACTGCCAGTAAAACCACTTCTAGGAACATATCACAAGAAAACAGAAATACCAGTCAGAAAGGATATATGCACCCCTATGTTTATAGCAGCACAATTTACAATAGCAAGGATTTGGAAACAGTCTAAATGCCCATCAGCAGATGAGTAGATTAGAAAACTATGGTACATCTACACAATAGAATATAATAGTATGCTTCTATTAAAAAGAAGGAATTCTTACCATTTGCAGCAGCATGGATGGAATTGGAGAGCATTATGCTATGTGAAATAAGCCAGGCAGTGGAAGAAAAATACCACATGATCTCACTCATTTATGGATAATAAAGAACATTATAACCTGATGTATAAAAAGATAGATACAGAGAAGCATCGAACAGACTGTCAAATTACAGTGGGAAGGCTGGGGAGTGTTGGTGGGGGGGAGGTAAGAGATCAGCAGAAAGACTTGTATGCATGCATATAAGCATAACTAATGGACACAGACACTGGGGGTGGGGGGTGGGGGTGAGAGCATGTGCTGGGGGTAGGGGAGGCTGGAGGAAGGTCAGTGGGGCAAAAAAAGGAGACATATATTACTATTTGTAATACTTTAAACAATAAAATAAAATTTAAAAAAATTTTTAAGGGGACACGTACATTCAGACCATATAAATTGTTTTAATATGTATTACATCCACAAGTTTGTTCATTTAAGACACTTAAAGGATATACAATAAAAAGTTTTTAAAAAGTACAAAAAAAAAAAAAAGAATAGAATGAGCCTGGGTGGGAGATGCTGCTTCCAGGTCCATTAAGTTCTTACTCACCACTGTAATTGTTGGGGAGCTGCTGCTTGGACTTAACCTTTTCCATTGCAGTGCTGAAAGCCTATAAGCAGCAAAACAGAGCAGAGCAGGGCTTTTAGTCATTGTCATCAAAACCCCTCCCTCTACCTGTACACACCACACCTGACCTCATCCACTCTGTGAGTTCCCATTTCCACTGCCACAAACCTAAAGCAGCCTATAGGAAAATCTTGGGGACTAACAAGTGCAGCATCAGTCTGTTAGGACATGGACGAGAACCAAGTAGAGGAAAAATGGAAAGAAAACCAATAGGCAGAAGCTCTTAGTTAATAAAAAATTGATTTAAAAAAAAGATACATACACATTGCTTTTTCTGTTGATCGGATTAAATGATCAATTCCTGTACAATGCTTACTATTGTATCTGGCACACAGAAGACATTTGTCTGTTTTAAAGAAACTCATCTCTCCTAGAGTTTGGAATTACCATATCCAGTGTCTTCCTTTCTTTTCTTTTCTTTTTTTTTTTTTTTTTTAAGTTGATGCAATTGGCAGTAATTACTTCATGGAAAAGATGGTAAAAATTTCTTAATCTCTAAGCCATTTTTCTTCATAAGTTATATTTGCAGCTTCTATTTCCAGAGCCAAAGGCCTTCTATCTTATCATATTTTATACCTGGAGAGGTCCTTATGGGAAACTTCCCTGCACTCCCTTGTCCAAGAACTTGGAAATAAAATAAGAGATAAATTATCTACTGATGAATAGATTAAGAATAGCTGCCATACACAAAATGGATAAAAATCAGCTCTCTCTCAAAGTCCCTTTAAATGTCAGTATGTGTTTCAGGATGAGAAATCAATTAGGCAAGGCTTTTGAGTTAAATTGGAAAGAAATCTATAATTTAACCAGCAGCAATAACTTAGAGGAATGTGTGGGTACCAGGCAGATGGTCTGCAAGAAGTTTGGAAAAGTGGAATTTGGAAGTCTTTCCAGCTCTGTCCACAAGTGACCGATGCCTAAATGGAAGGGTGCCGCTAGTGTGTTCCTTATTCTGTGACATACTGCCTGGCACAAGGTAGATACACAATAAATATTTGTTAAATAACCATATGAACGACTACCCATTACCTTTTACAGATACTCAGCTCCAACCAGTAGTCTTTATCACCATGAAATACTGGTGAACACAAGAATTTCAGTCAGCTGTGAAGTATTACTCACTGAATGTAAGTATCACCCTATTGTGAGTTTAGTGTAGGCTGGTCTTCCTGCATCAGGTCAACTCTGAATGTCTGACAAATCCATTTTCTGAAATGTAGGGACTTGCCCCTGTAGGTAACTTGCCCCTGTGAGAAATGTGTAAGTTGCCCTCTGATCTTTCTGAACACACACCCCTCACTGAGAGATGTATTTAGGAAGCAAAGATGTATTTATCAGAAGGCCAGAGGGTATATATATGTGTGCACACACATCATGCCTCCACATGGATGTAATGTATTGTTGATATTGAAACAAACCTGAAGGGGTGGTCCATGTTAGGGTGAAGTGTCAGTTACTGTGTAAGATCATCCTCTCCTTTGAGTTACAGAACTGAGAGATGTGTCATCTCTCCATTTATTTTTTTCCTGTTTTTTCTTTAGTGGTTCAGAACACAGGCTTTTGGCACAGACAGACCAGGTTGGAATCTTGGTTTGGCCATTTGACTAGCTGTGCGTAGTTTTCATTTGTAAAATGGAGATGACAATAGCGATCTCACCACAGGTTTACGGGGTGAGAATGGAATGAGACAGCTTCTTAGCACCGTATTTGGCTGATGCAAAACACGGCAGCTATTTTTATTATTAGCCCTCAGACTGTGAGTAGTCTTTCTGCTTTTGTTGGAATTGCCATGTACATTTTTATTGTGGGTTGGGAAGAAGGAACTTTTCTAGACATGGTTCATTCTTCTTGTAGGGATATGGTACTTCATGAATAGTTCAGAGATATAACCAGGGCCCAATCATAGTCCTTTGCTTGGGGGGAACTGGTGAATTTCATTTGAAGGATAGGCTGATTCATTTTGTCAAGAAGGCAGGCTACCTCACAGAGTAATTGGCCACCATGTTCTATGGATGAGATGCAGAGGTATGCTGGCACTGGCTGATACTGGCTTACAAGAGCCCATTGTTCAGGTACCCTCTCACCTGCACCGTCAGTGGTGTCACATTGATCATTTGAAGTCAGCAGGGGAAATCAGCAGACACTACAAACCTCCTTGGGTCTAGTCAGGCAGCAAAAGGAATAAGAACCTTTACACTTGTTCAAGGAAAGAGCAAGCTGGAACCAATACGTCTGTTTTCTTGTACAAGGAGAAAAAGTGGCAACAACCCACTTAGAGACAGGCTGGGGGTGGGAAAGAGGACTAATGTTCAGAGCCACGCTCTGGACTAGGCCTCCAGAAGGCCCTTTATACCCAGAACCCAGACACGTGCTTGGAAAATCACACTAGCACTTTGATGCTGCTGTTGACAGAATCAGAAACCTATGTCTTCAAAACCTAGTGTAAGGTGCTGTACCTTATCTCGTTTCTTTTTTAGTCTTTCTTAACATCATGAAAGTCCTTCTGGAAAATGCCAGCTAAGTGGGAATAAAGCAAAGAGATAGTACTCTAAGGGCAGAACAGTACCACAATATATACTAATTATGCTGAATATGTCAGTGACCTATTCACATGTGAGAAACTCAGCTGATCTGGCCACTCAAAAACAAAAAGCTGAGATGAAGTGAAATCAAAAGGCACTCAGACACACAGACACAGTCCCCTATACCACAGTTGATTTCCCTCTGAAGCCACCTATAGGTGAGTTAAGAAACAATAGGATGAATTTGAGGACAGTACTTGGACATGGCAAAAGTAGTCAGATACACCCTTGCTGTTAAAAAATTAATCTAATTGGAAAAAAGATAACAAACAATTCACTTAATTTAGTATTCAGTTCAGAACTCAGTGAACTTTATCCCATTACAGCTAATATAACAATTAACTTTCATAGAGGACTTACTGTACATGAGGTAGTGTTTTAAGTGTTTTACATGTATTAACTCCTCGAATTCTCACAACTGCTCCCGAAGATGGTGATTATTACCCCCATATTAAAGCTAAGGACCAAGGAAGTTGATGGAAGAGGAAAAGACAAAGAATTTGTTTTAAATATTACAATGACAGTTTGATATCTGAGCGGAAATGAGAAAGGGTTGGTGATGTGGATCTGAAGTTGGCTCAGAAGATAGGACTCCGCCGAAGTTATGGCAGAAATGTCAGGATAGCTGTGTGCTTAGAAGAAGAAAGAAGAAAGGGGAGCATAGGATCCTACACTGGAATTAGGAATTTGCTTACCTTTAAGGACCGAAGGGAAGAATAAGTGCCAACGAAGAAAAAAAGTGAAGCAACATAGTGGGTTAAACATAGTTTCTCTAATGGCATTCTAATGTCTCATACTAATACAGGAAGGTCTGAGGCGGACAATTTACAAAAGTTAAATTTCACCAAGTCAGAAAAATCACCATGCCATACAGCTTAGCCCCGTGTCTTACATGATTACTAAACAGATTTGAATGAATGAATGAACTGTAAGACATTTCTAAGATATTAACTTACCTTGTGTATGTCCAGGTCTGTAGGAAAGATCACAAACTTTATACTCAGCTGTTTTTCAGGATAATATTTGGCAAACTCTAAAACTTCGTCAAACATAATCTGTGCTACTCTATTGTTGTTAATACCAATGCCTCCAGCCCCAAGAGCAGGAAAGGAAATGGAAGTTATATGTAGGTCTAGGCATTTTTCCAAACACTTCTTCACTGCACATTTCAATCTCTGTAGCAAAAACACAATTTTAAGGTCAGCCTTCAAGTCAAAACTTACCCCTTGATCTTGCCCATATTTAACAATGCTAATCTCCACTCTCCCTCAGGGTCATGTCCATGCCTTCTCAGAGAGCAGAAAAGGTCCCACTCCATTGGGAACCCATTATAGCTATAAGGTTAAATGATGATAAATGAAAAGGCTAAAGAAATTGAAGTGATGGACTGGTCCTTTTTGTGCTATTCAGGACCTTTGGGCACCATGATTTCTCCCAGCTTATGTAGTCTTGCTGACCTGCCCAGGTCAGAGAGCCAATCATCAGTTTATCCCCACTCATCTGTCACTTCCAGGTCAACATAAAGGGCTCTTGGGAGTTTAATAAAGGAGATAGAGGTTAAAATGAATACGCAGCATTTATTCAAAGTCTTTTAAGGTCTGCCATGTATTTCTCCTAGTATATTTGGCAGATTTAAACTTTCTATGAATGTTTCAACATCCAAATGAATACCAATACAGGAAGGTTGTCTAAATACTAATACAGGAAAACTGAGAAATAGAGATGATAGGGATTACAGGGCCCTCTAGCCAAGAAAGAACCAGAAATGGTGACAAAACAAAGACAAAGAAAGGCAGATGGGAAGACACCACAGGAAGTAGATCTGACTAGAATGGTGCTAGAAGGGAAATCCAGGTCCTCCTGGAACTTAACAGTTGGAAGGAAACAGAGAGAGGTTGATTCCCAGGCCCACTTAGGAAAAGGCCTACAGGGTACAGTGTGGTGAGGTGAATGGTGTACAGACGGATGTTTCTATGCCTATTTGAGGTAAACTCACTTAAATTTAGACATGTGTTATGTAATATTTTAGATTAAACTTCTTAAGTTAACTTATTAAGACAACAACAGCCCTAGCCGATTTGACTCAGTGGATAGAGCGTTGGCCCGTGGACTGAAGAGCCTTAGGTTTGATTCAGGTCGAAGCACATATCTAGGTTGCAGGTCTGATCCCTGGCTGTGGTTAGGGTATGTGTGGGAGGCAACCATTTGTTGTGTTTCTCTCACATCAATGTTTCTCTCTCCCTCTTCCTTCCACTCTTTCTAAAAATCAATGGAAAAATATCCTCGGGTGAGGATTAACAACAACAACAAAAAAGACAACAAAAGTTATTTAGTATTTCAAATTTTCACAGGTGTAATAGAAAATGGGGATTATACAACCTGATAATATTTCATTAATGTAATGATTCGATAGAAATTCGACAAAGATTTTCAAGCTACAAAACAAAAAGATAAATTTATTTTGAGCTTACCTGATCCGAGTGATATTTTGAAAACCACAACACATGGAATACATACTGACAGGCCAATTTAAATCCTTTTGTGACCAGTACTAACTGGGAATTTTGAGATGTCTGCTGCTTTTTTTGGAGAAATTCCACTTCTATTTCATGTCCTGCTTGTTGTAGAATTGATTGCGATATAGGACCAATTCCAAACTTCCAATTAAATACAGAATTAACAATTACATCTGTCTGAAAAGGGAAAAAATGGACAGGATTCCTTTTCAAATTACTTTTTGTCAAATGACTAATTTTAGTCTTTAATTCCCTGAAGAGTTTTGAAAAATATTTCTGAAGATCCTAAGTCCACAAAGTATCATTTAATAATGGATAGAATCTTTTTATCTCCAAAGAGTGATCATATGATTAGTCTGTTTATCCTATTCAGTAATTAGGCAAAGTGTGTGAATGATACAATTTTTAGTGAAACATCTATCATCCCCTTGCTGGTGTATCTTTCCCATATTTCCAGATTCTGCACATTCCCTGTGATTTATTTTAAGCTTTATCAATGAGTGGTTTCATTCCTTGCCCCACTGTCATCTCTTTTTTCTATTTTTGTGTGAATTTTCTGTTTTGTTTTACACAGAGTGAAAATAAAATTTCTCAGGAAATTTTCGCCTATTTTGTTTAAAAGTGAGTAGTACATAAAGAAAGTACAAACGAGACAAAAAAGTCTTCTATGAAAAGTAGGCTCCATCTTGGTGGAGTCCTCATATCTGCTACTCACACACCTATCCTATAAATTTTTCATCTGTCCTTTCAGAAATAGATTGTACAGCCTGGCTGGCATGGCTCAGAGGTTGAGCATCGACCTATGAACCAGGAGGCCATGGCACATGCCAGGGTTACGAATTCTATCCCTAGTGTGGGGTATACAGGAGGTAGCTAATCAATGGTTCTCTCTCATCATTGATATTTATCTTTTTCTTCCTCTCCTTTCCTCTCTGTTAAAAAAAAAGAAATAGATTGTATATTCACTTGGGCTGTATTTTAAGTAATATCACCTAGTTAGCTCTAAGAACTGTGCTAACAGAGTTGTATCCCTTTTCCCCCTCATGTCCACATCCCCTTAAGTCACCCTGATGGTTTTGACTCCCTTTGGGGGTAACTTGAATATTTCTCATAGATGTTAATGAATGCGTCACTTTGAAAGTACAATCAGAATTTGCAATTTGGGGATACTGCTTCCTTTTTGAATTTCAAGGTTCCTAATGTTTTTGGCAATAAATAAATACAATAAAACTTTATTTAAATGAAAAGTTATTTAACAAGGATGTTTCCACTTTAATTTTAAATTGACATATTAATGACATCAAGTAAATACAGTGGAACCTCAGTGCTTCAAGTTAATTCATTCCAGAAGACTGCTCAAGAAGCAATTTGTTTGAAAACTGAAAAATTTTTCCCAATAGAAATAATGTAAACTAATCTGTTCCAGACGCCCAAATGATTTCCTGTGTTATCCTTTCTTACATACAGTACATGTCTAAGCTCTATTGTTGTTCTCATAACTTTCTTTTCACTTTGCTGCCATCACTAACCTTCTTAGAACCCATGAGACTTACTGTACATAACCTATATGATAAAAGGCTAATATGCAAGTCAACCAACGGTGAAATGACGGGTCACTATGATGCTCACTGACCACCAGGGGGCAGATGCTCAATGCAGGAACTGCCCCCAGTGGTCCGTGCGCTCCCACAGTGGGAGCGCTGCTCAGCCACGGCTGGTGAACGAAGTGGCGATAGCTAAAGCCTCTTGCTCCACTGCAGCAGCGCTAAGGATGTGCGACTGACAGCTTAGGCCCGCTCCCCAGAGGTCATCCCCTGAGGGCTCATAGACTGTGAGAGGGTGCAGGCCAGGCTGAGGGAACCCTCAAGTGCATGAATTTTGTGCACCAGGCCTCTAGTTTAATAAGCAGCAACAAAAACAAAAACACACATAATAATCACAGTTCAATTTCCTGAGATGTTAATAACTCAAGGTTTAGCAGTAAACTGACTCATAGTCATGCAATCTCTTCTTTGTCACCTGAGAGATGTGTGACTGATCATACATGTATCAGCATGAGAGAGTTTTAGAAACGAAGTTTTGTTTGACAACCAAGACATTTTTCATGAACAACTTGTTCTAGAATCGAATTGTTCAAGAACTGAGGTTTGGCTGTATTGCATTTTGTGGGCATCCCCTCAATCTCTTGTCTTGCAGGCAGTATATGGTATTTTTTCATGTAGGATTAAGTCTGTTTGATTGCAGCCACAGGAGAGTCTAAAATGTGACATTATTGATCCAGAAAAGAAAAAGAATTCTCTGTTGCAGTTCCTGCTACCCCTTTCCTCCTTTACTTATTCATCAATATTTTGCTCAACACCAAGAAGCAGGCCCAAACTGGGGTTTGGGGCTACAGAGATGAATAAGCCATGATCCCCATCCTCAAGACACTCTCTGCCTAACAGGGGAGCTGCACTAACCAGAAATACTTAAGTTCACTTCTACCCTGACTTCCTCCCCTTCCTGCCAGAGCCCTCTCCTTTGTGCCCAAGGAATCCTGGCTAAATGCTAAGTCACACTTTGTATCATCCATGGCCCATGGCACAGAGCCATATACTTAGAATACAACTTATAGCCTCACCTGGCCCAGCCCATTATTCTCTATTATTCTCCTTGTCTCTCTAATCAAGTCATTCTAATAACTAGGCCACACCTCCTGCCAATTCATATCTATAACAACTTGAGATCAGATCCAAAATACACATCTTCTGAAGTAATCTTTCTTGGTCCACCACACTCTTTTGTCACAAATTGACCTACTCTTAAATATTATGAATTCACTGTATTAATGAATACATTGTTTACTATGGGTAGGTGGCTTCAGAAATGTCCAGATGGTTTGTCTCACAATGAGATTTTTCAAATAGAGAATTTTTTTCTTTTAACAGAAAAAGAGTAGAACAGATTTTAAGTTCCTTGGAATCAAAAATTGTTTTATTTCCTCATTGTGCCTAAGAATAATAGCAATAATAGTTATAAATACTTGTCATGTGCCAAAATTTATTCTAAGCATTTTATGTGTATTAATTCCAATTCTAAGATATAAGTCTTATTATTATCCTCATTTTTCAGGTGAGAAAATTAGGATCAAAAGAAACTAGATTCATGTCACCCTGCTAGTAAATGGCTAGTATTTAAATCCAGATGGTCTGTCCTAAAGTCCATACTCTTATAGGTAATAAACAATTTAGGGATCCCGTTTGGCAGTGCAAGAATAGAGGAACAAAGACTTACCTGCTGTAGTTCAATGTGTCCTTGGACAATCTGGAGAGTCACTCTGTTCACAACCATCGCATTGAAAGGAAGAATGGCTCCCTGACTCACTGAGGACCCCAGCTCGTTACTCCCTAGAATGTATTCTGAAGCAGTTTTAAAGGAAGCAACAGTGGGGTCCTCATTGCTTACCAGATGAATTTCTCTTAAATTACTGGCCGGTTGCCTCTCTTGAAAATAAAGCTTGATAGTTCCCACAATGATCTTTGTACACAAATCCAGAGGGAACCGGAAAATCCCAGAGCTGAGGGCTGGAATTGCTACTGTCTCAGGGGATGAATAGTCAGAGATGACACAATTCAGAATACTTCTTATGGCTTTTTGCAGATCAGCTTTACATCTCACTGCATCCCTCTCCTCCCACCGAGGCCCAACGGCATGGATAATGAACTTGCAGGGAAGTTTCCCTGGTCCTGTGACAGCAACCTCACCAGTTGGTATTTTACCATATTTGAAAACAAACATATCACTCTCCTCTTGGATTTGTTGGCCGCCAGCTTTCACCAGGGCCTGTGCCAGGCCTCCTCCATGTCTCAGTTCTTCATTGGCTGCATTCACCACAACATCAACAGCATGTCTGGTGAGGTCATCCTTCCAGACAGATAGCTCTAGTCCCGCAGTCAGCCTTTTTCTGAAGACTTGGTGAGGCACACTGTTACTTTCCCGGGCTGGAGAGACCAGGGTAGAGACACAGCCAAATTTATTCCGGAGGACTTCACACAGCAGACTTTCATTATTTTGTAAAAATTTGAAGTCATTGTGATTAATGGGTATTTGCCAATTACAATTTTCTCCAAGAATGTCAGTCTCTGGAATAGGAGAGATTAAAACAAAACAAAACAAATCAAGAAATGGGTAAAAGTTCCTTTGAAAAGAATGTAATTCCACTTCACATCAGAAAACTAAGCGTCCCATATACAAAAGAGAGAAGAACTTCCTCTATCCCTCTCCCTGATTATCTTTCTCACCTAGATATGTAATTAGATCAAGAATGTCCAAGATTTTTCAATGGTAAATCATCCATGAAGAACTTACTCTAGTGTCTGGCATACAGTAAATACTCCATAAGTGGTAGTTACACTCCCATGATACAATGATGTGGTGAGAAAACTATGTGTATGGGAGCTCATGAATTTTTAAACCTGCATTAAAATGGCACGTTTGGGAAGAACTACACTTAAGGCACAAATATAGGAAAGGATTCAATTATGAGTCAAAAATAAGTGGAGGCTTTATTGGTAACTTGTTTGCTTAATCTTAGTGCCTTAGTCTGGGCTCTCTTACTAGTAGAAACAGACTCTGAGGTAAAGGCTTGAATGTAAGTTTATTTGGGAGCTGATCCTAGAAAATGCCAGGGGTATGAGATGGGAGGGCAGAGTGAGAAAGTAAAGACAGAAAAGGGAAGGAAATGAGTGAAAAATGTGCTATGAAGCAAATTAAGCAGAATTCCACAGGGGGATAGTGTGTCTCAGAGTAATACCACCAGAAGGGAAAGGAGCTGGGATATTCATCCAACCTCGTATCAGTCATTGGTCAAGGATGCTCTGTGGGGGGCATGGTCCAGCAAATGGGCGGGACATCATACTCTAGTTTCATGGAACAATTTTGGTGGAATTGAAACTGACTGACTAGAAATTACTGTATGTGGCAGATAAGTTGTGCTGTTCAGATCCCCACTCAATGTGGTTATGAAGGAGGGAACAAGGTTAGCTGACAGCCTCCAGTTGTTAGCCCTCAGGGTCCATCTTAGCTTTCCAGCCAGGGTCACACTATTCCCAAGGTGGCCCCCATCAGTGACTGATCACGGCCACTTATGTCCAATGTGGGACTCCCCTAAAGGGACATCTCAGGCTGCAGTTTGATGGCTCTGTCTGCCCAATCTGGCTTCATTTCTTTTCCTTTCCCTGAACCTTTTGCATTCCTAACTCCATCTCAGTTTCTGCTTCTTTGAGAACCTAACCTGTGACTACATTTCATGGGTTCTAAGATGTCATTATTAAATGCCACTGAGTAAGGAAAAACAATGCCAATTAACACGTGGCACATTACCGGTTGATAGAATAGTTTCTTCTTCTTTTTTTTTTTTTTAAATATATTTTTTATTGATTTTAAACAGAGAGGAATTGAGAGGGATAGAGAGTTAGAAACATCGATGAGAGAGAAACATCGACTGGCTGCCTCTTGCACACCCCCCACTGGGGACATGCCCACAACCAAGGTACATGCCCTTGACTGGAATCGAACCCGGGACCTTTCAGTCCGCAGGCCGACGCTCTATCCACTGAGCCAAACCGGTTTCGGCTGATAGAATAGTTTCATTTAACAGATGTGAAAAACTGTGCGTCCTAAAATAGGTAAAATGTGGTAATTAGTTATATTTTACTTCAGCTATATTTCTCATCTCAGCTACCTAGAAAGACCTATGATGGCTTCAATAAAAGCAACAGCATGCATATATACATAACCCACAGACACAGACAATAGTGTGGTGTGGGGCGGGGGCTGGGTGGAGGGGGGCAAAAAGAAGACACCTGTAGTACCATCAACAATTTAAAAAAATAAAAATAAAAAGTTAAATAAACAAATAGAAGAAGTAGCATGCACTAGCCAGATTCAATTAGCCTGCACTTTGGTAGAAAATCTCAAGTGGGCCACCCTTAGGATTAGGCAGGTTCCACTTGTCTCTTACAGCCCTTACTGAGCAAGGGACCATCAGTTGGTCGCCTCTTCTGATCAATTCCTCGGGCTGTGGTCAGAAGAGTCTTACATTACTGTATGAGGCAGATAACGTGCAAAGAAGGGGATCAATGGGAGCCCTAAGAGAAGGTGCCTGCTGACGCACACTGCCCCTGAAGCAGCCTCCCAACTGAGGCATGGTCCGGCGGCCACAGGTCCTGCAATTACACACCTGAACACTTGCAGGGAAGAAAGTCTCCTTCTGCACTCCCCTTTCTCCACTGAGCACTGATATGAGTAACGGCTTTCTGAAGCCAGTCTGTGAGTGAGATCCTACCTGATTTCTCATTGTAAGCTGCTGCTCCAGCATCCTGTGAAAAACATGATGAGAGTGGTTTTTAAAAAATTGAAACCGAATGACTACAGATCACTGATAACAGATACAGCCCAAAAATCACAAAGCAACAGGTACTCTGCTAGAAGCCCTGGGTTTGAGGGGAGGGGGAACACCTACAGGTCGGTCAATTTGTTTAATCTGTGTGCCTGATATACTTGAAATACTAACTATTCTAGCAAACACTGATCCTACCTCACTTCCTAGAGGCCAATCAATGCACTTCCAATTTAGGATAAGATGAAGGGTTAGAGATTAACACATAAAAAGGTCCAAAGGTCACAGCCCCAATTACCAAAACTTTCAGATAGGCCTCCAATTTCCAAAGGCTTGTGGGTTTTTCTGGATAGAACAGAAGACATGGAGAGACATGAGTGTCATCAGCTACCCCTTCCCAGCCACCAGTAAGGGCCCACTTTCAATTGCTTATTTCATGACCCAAGCCTGAAAGTGGAATTTTATGGTTGAAAAATTTCTCCATTTCTTTGTTTTTATTCTTCGTCTATAATCCTCTTCCCCATCCCACCATTCAGCAGAATTGCTGAATGAGTATATAGAATCAAAATGACATTGAGGTGTCACTTTTACAAATCATCCATCCTCAGGCTGCCTCTGTTGATTAGATTAGCATATTCTGGATTCCCTTTGTCTCACATGGTACAAGGAGAAACTTTAATTGGGCTATTAATACCAAAACGAAAACCCAGATTACTTGCTATTATGGAACTATTCATGCACTGTTCAGAGTTCAGGTTTTATATAGGATATGTTTATATATAAGTGCCTTTACCTTAGAAAACTCCATCCTCTAGGACCTTGGGGTCTTCAAATGTTTGTACCCTGTTTGCTTTTCCAAGCACAGACTGCTGTTCCCAAATATGATGATCCACTTCTAGGAATGAATACAAAGGATGCAGTAAGTACCGACCCGGAGTCTTAGGGAATTTGTTAAGAACTCACCATAGGAAAACTAAACATGATGATTTCTGGTCATGAGTAGGTTTTAGTTTTACTAGTGAAAAAGCACGATTGTTTTGCTGCCATAGTTACTGTTTACCTTCTATCCTTTGGCATGAGGTTCTAATTGAAACCATAAAGGCAGTTCAGAGAAGGGAAAGGGACATGGGGGCTATAGCAGGGAGAGCTTTATGGAGGTGAGACTAGAACAAGACCTTGAAGGGTGGAACAGGTTTTTACAACTGGAAGAGGAGAATGGTACCAAGTGGTAAGACTGAGCACAGCATTAAAAAAACAAAACAAAACAAAACCAATGAGGAAAAACCAGCCTTCTGTGTGAACATGAAGAACCCTGGAGAGTGTTTGAAGAAAGGGTTATAGTTTTGCCTGTCAAGGGTATGTGTACTGAATTTGGGACAAATTCTTGATCTAATAAGGGGAATATCTGGATAAAAATCAGAGACTCTGAAAAAACTATTTTAATGATTTTCTATCTACTAGGTGGAAATGAAAATGCTTAATGACACAGTAGCCTACACTTGTCCAGAGTTGGCAACAGGCCTCTGAAATGATTTGTAATGTCTTTGCAATAGAAAAAAAATTTGTGCAGCTCTCTACAGCATCAGAGCACTATTCTTCTTCCATGTCAGGAAAAACACCAAGTTCAGTCCAATCGTCAAGTCCCAGGAAAGATGCATTTGTGCCTCCAGAGGGCACTGCTGTTTTCATAAAAGAAGTAAGTCTTTGCTTTCGATGGTTTTGCTCTTGTTTGTTTGTTTTTTTCCGCCCTTTAGGTAAGGCTTTAAAGGCGTAGAGATACACTTGAGGGGTGTGTGTGGGCGTATATACGTCCAAAGAAATCAGGAGCATTCTGCCCATAATACAGTCTCTTCAATTTTTTTTTTAAATCAATCTTTATTGTTCATATTATTACAAAGGTTCCTCATTTCTTCCCCCCTCCACCAGGTTCCCACCACACCCTCCGGCCCCTCCCCATCCCCCATTGTCCTCATCCATAGGTGCACAGTTTATGTTCAGTCTCTTCTTCCCTCCCTTTCCCCAATAGTAAATCCCTTTTCAGATAGTAAATCAGTTACTTAGCATTTTCTCATATCAATAATACCTCCACATGCCCAATGATACACTTCACACAAAAGACATTTCCCAATAGGTCCACCAGCCTCATCCAGGCCCCACCCAAGGCACTCACAGATCAACACCCCAGCCCTATACTAACTCAACACATCCAGATCTAAGCCTTCATCACTTGATTCAGCATACCCTCAAGTTCCCACGAAAGTTTCCAGCCATGTCTGAGAGGCAGCCGTGGGGCAGGGGCAGGCGAGGAGTGAGCTGTTCTGGGCCTGGCTGCTCAGGGCCTGGCCTCTGTTGCTCTGGTTCGTTCCACAACCAGCTGCTCAGGGTCTGGTCACTGCCGCTCCCGACCTAATTGCTCTGGACTTGGCTGCTACTGCTCCGGGCCTGGCCGCTCCCAGCCTGGCAGCCGCTGCTCCGGGCCTGGCCGCACCCGACCCGGCTGCTCCCCCGGGCCTGGCCGCTCCCAGCCTGGCAGCCGCTGCTCCGGGCCTGGCCGCTCCCAGCCTGGCAGCTGCTGCTTCGGGCCTGGTTGCACCCAACCCGGCTGCTCTGGGCCCGGCTGCCCTGGGCCCGGCCGCTCCGAGCCTGAACACTCCCAGCCTGGATGCTCTGGGCTTGGCTACTGCTGTTCTGGGTCTGGCTGCTCCCACCCCGGCTGCTCTGGGCCTGGCTTTTCGGGGCCCGGCCACCCCGGGTCTGGTTGTTCCTGGACTGGCCACTCTGGGCTTGGCCGCCTCCGCCTCAGGCCTGGCTGCCACTGCCCCAGGTCTGGCTGCTCCAGTGCTGGCTGTTGATGCTCTGGTTCTGGCTGCTGTTGTTCTGGGGCCTGGCCGTTGCTGCTTTGGGCCTGGCTGCCACTGCCTTGTGCCTGGCCACTTTAGGCCTGGCCGCTGCTGTTCCAACATTCTGTCCTTTCTTTTTCTTTTTCTTTTTTTAAAATGCATTTATGATGCAATGTTGGCTGGTGAGTTGAGTTCTGACTTAGTCTTTGATTTTTCAAGAACTTCTTTGTATTCTTTCTTAAGTAATTTTACTATCTTTTGCTCTCACTTGATTTCTTCACATTGAGAACTTCTTTGGTTTCTTCCTCCTTGTCCTGGGAGCTCAGCAGGTTGGCCTGTGGCACCCCTTTGTTCTCCGCGGGCTCCTGCGCTGCTTCAGCCTGTTGCCGGGGACGGCGCCGCCCAGAAAGCAGCCCCCGGCCTTGGCTCCATTGCCCCCACTCAGGGGTGGAAGGCTCAGGGGCACCCATTCCCCCAGAGGCCCTGTCGCCTGGCTCCTTGCTGGTGCCCGGTTGGCCGGCGTCCGGCAGGGGCTCCTGCTCCCCGCCGTGTTCCCCCAGCCCGGAGCTTTTTTTCTCCTTCCAGCTAGGGGAGTCCAGCATCAGAGTCAACAGACTGTCCTCTGCGCGCAGTGTGCAGGAGTCCGGGGGCCGGCCTTTCGCCGCTCTTCCAGGACTCCACCTCACAGCCCCGTCTCCCTCTGCCTGAGTCTGGGTCCCCAGGGATTGGCCCAGAACTGGGGTTCGGAGCAGTCTGGACTGAGGCCCAGCGCTGCCGGAGGCCTTGTTTTTTCCGGCTAGGGCAACCCAGCATCAGAGTCAACATTCAGTCCTCTGCGTGCACATTGCGCGTGACTCCAGGGGCCCTGCTTTTTCACCGCTTTTCCGCCTCACAGCCCCGTCTCCCCCTGCCGGAACCTGGGTCCCCAGGGTCTGGCCCATAACTGGGGCTCAGCGCTGCCGGTTCGGGGGGCTCAGCGCTGCCAGTTCGGGGGTTCAGCCCAGGCTGGGGGTTTTATTTCCTTCCTGCTAGGGAAGGAAAGGCAGCACCCCGCCCTCTCCTCCTCTCCGGCTGCGACCTCTCCGCGCGCGCAGGCAGGCGGGCGCGCACACGTCTCCGTACCTTAGGCTTTTTTTTTTTCAGCTCCTCTGATTTTCCTTCTGGTTTTCTCTTTCCTTCTTGTAGAATTTTTAGTCAGTTGACTACCTGTAGCTCTGGGCAATGTCCACTCTACATCTTAGTTGTATTCCATTGAAATTGTTGTGTGCTGCTGCGGCTGGATATCTACCCGAGCAGCCATCTTGGATCTCCACAGTCTCTTCAATTTTAATAATAACACCAATAGCAACAAAAGCCTTCCCAACTTTCCATCACTGATTCTTACTGAGTTCTGTTCTCTGCACAGGGACATGAAGAAATGGACCCTCCTCTAGCCAATTGCCTGCTCAGCCCACTGCAGTGGGTTCCTGCCTCACCCCCAGTCCTCCTCTGCTCATCAGTGTCCTCCATGATGTTAACCTCCATAGACTCTCTTCTATATTTCATTGTGTCCCAAAACTCTGCTTTCTTAGCA